CAGTTTAACAAACAAAAAGATTTTCTATTAACATGATTAACATGATAACAGTTATAATAACATGATATATAAAATGGTAACGGTAACAACAATATAAATAACAAGTTACCCATATTTGTAACGTGATAACATATTAAATATTTGAATATTGTTATGATTAACGTGGTAAGATAGTGAATACATAGATAATATTTAAATTAATGCGTGATTTATAAAGGATATTCACCCATAATAATACTGAGGTTAACATGGTAAAAGTTATAAAAACAAATTATATAAAATGATACTGCTAACAATAGCAATAACCCATTAACTAATTTTTTGATTGATTAACTGGCATGTTAGCTAAATTTTTTTATTTATTAACTTGCTTCTCAGGCAAAACTCGATTTTGAGTTTTTGTCCCAACTGTGGTGTCAGTCGAAGACTATCTCTAATGTCAGTCACTTCTTATTAATCGGAAACAGTAAGAAACTCATAAAGAAAACTAGAAAAGAGAAGAGAACACAATAGTCTTTCTCTCTCTTTGTTAAATACGTTTGTTTGTGTTAGGGTAAAACAGACTTATCCTCTGTAAACAGTATAAAGTAAATAGTGCACTTAATTTTAAGATTAATCATTGTCAATTAGTGCAATTACTCTTAATAAAATGATACTTGTTGAAGTAAAGTAAAAGTAATTTCTTAATTTCCATGTTTTTAGCTAAAATATCTTATATTTTGAAAGGGACGGAGTATAATTGTTTTGTGTGTTTTTAATTTTAGGGTTTGTTGTGGGAATCGTTTAGGAGAGATGGTGAATCAATCACTACAATCATGCAGTTTTAGCAGGAATAAAAGAGTGAGCACTCATTTCTTGGAGGTATTAATATTACACTATGTTGTTGATGGTCGTTCACGGGATTCGATAATTTCGTGGGGCCAAACCGCAAGAGTTTTGTTGTATGGAATCTGGAAACTTTTGGCAGCGATATTCTTCCCAAGTTGAATCTACACCACAATTTTTCATTATCCATCCGCCGGCTTGAGAGCTTTGTACAGCCGAATCCGAGATTGAAACCGTAATTCTACAAAATGTCAATCATCACATAAAACGATATTTCAAATAAATTATATTTTGATAAGGTTATGGCCTTATGGGATACATGCGTTGACAAAGA